ATCCAGTGTCAGGTGAGGCAGATACAAGGCCAGCCCTGATTTCCAGCCAGGGGAGGCTCAAGAGATGAAAAGCAGATGCAAGGCTTAGGCTGATCCCCTGGGGCAATGGGGAGAAGAGAGAGTGAAATCTGAATTGATCCCCAGAGGGGAGAAGGAAGAAGGATGTGAACCTCCCCTTGAGAGGAGGGCAAAGCAGGACTGGGATGGAAATCTGGAGGGCAGACTGAAACCTGAGCTACCCACAGGGGGAAAAGCCAAGCAGGAACAGCAATGACATCCAGGGAGCACCTGAGATTAGGGGGAGGTGGGAACATGGAGCAGAATGAAAAGCTATGAGAGAGCTCCCCGGGGGGAGGGAAGCCCTGGTGGAGCGAAATTAAATGTGCAGGGAGTTTTGCATCCCAGATATTAATAACAAACTACTCGGCGAGTTAGGCCCTTCTCTGCACCTTCAAAAGGATGGAGGGGAGGAAGAACTTGTCTGTGGTTGAGCACAAGACGGTGAATCAGAGGATGGGAGTCCATAACCCAGCTCAGGCCCCTGGATTTCAATAGAGCCCAATGTCCACGGGCAACTGGCCCATGAAGCACCCCCTGATCCCAGCTGCAATCAGAGCTCAGCATCTTTGGGAAAAGCCTCTCTGGCTTTTCCAGCCTGGGAGTCAGGCTGTGTCTGCAAAACTCCTTCCAGAGGCACCAAGGGATGCTAAATCATTAGCAAAGAGCCTTCAGACGTGTGGGTGGAAGGTACCAAACAAGGTCAGGGTGTTTATTAGTGGCACTGAAAAGGAGCCACCAGGGATTTCACATCTCAGGTGCAGTTTGCCCACTTTGAATTTCTCACATTGTGTGCCTACAGGACATCAGCTGTGGAGCCCTGAGATAACTCAAAGCAACTGCTGGAAATCCCACACAAACCTCAGAAATTAAAGTTTCTTTGGGCAAGGACTGTCAGATATGAACAGAGCAGGGAGAGGACTTAGACAAGGAGGTCCTGAGGGAAAGGAACCCCTTCAGCACCTCTTGTAAGAGAGCAGGGCAGTAACACACAGGATGCTTGACCTGCTTTTAGAAAGGAGGAATTTTTCAACAGAGCCAGCTGAAAATAATAATAATTTTTTTTTTTCTTTCTAGGAAGCCTGTTGGAAATATGTATCCTTCCTACATCCTCTGAGTGGTGTAAACTAAAGACAGCAAACAACAGGAATAAAGAACCAACAGGAAAACTGAAGTTTGGCCCTGCTCAGGCACTTCAGTGCCTGCCTGCCTGTCTTAAACATTGTCAAATCTCCCAGCCAGATCACTTCAGATTGATGTGATTGATGCTAATGACAGGTTTGATAAACAAACGACAGCCTGTCCTGCAAGGGTCAGCCCTTTGCTGGCATGAAGAGTGCCTGACACATTTGGATAGGGAGCAGAGTCAGATCCTGCCCAGCTCTGCTCGCACAAGAACCTGTCAGCTCCATTTCAAGAGAGACATCTTCTCTCCCAGCTCTGGAGAGGAGCTCTCACTCCTCTGGAAGGAGAAGAGCTGATCCTGCATTCCTCCCTGGACCAACAAGGTCCTGCCATCATTTCCCTGCTGGAAAAGCACTCCTGGCTTCAGCAGCTGTGCATTCTCCTCCCCCAGCTGTGGACAGATGCACATCACTGTGAGCTGGGCTCAACCCTCACACCACTCACACAAGCCCTGGCACCTCCCAAAACCATCAGCCCTCCATCCATTCCTGTATTCCAGCAGGCAGCTCTATCCCAGGGCTCAGCTCCAGACACCTGGCTCTCCAGAGCAGCTACAAAAACAAACAATCCAGAATTTCCTAAAGGCTGAACGGGGAATTAAACGCGAGCAGAGCTGAGGACAGCCCGGGCAGGATCACCGCATGGCAGCCAGGGGAAGCTCCAATTCCAGCACTCCCAGCACCTGTCCTGCTCCCATTTGAGGCAAAGGGGGCTTGAATTTTGCCAGGAAAAGGCAGGGACACTCAGATCTGTCCCAGCCACGCTCTGGCCACCATCCCATCCCATCAGGAGGCAGATGTCCCTGTGCAGGCTGCCAGCACCGAAGGTGAAAGTTTATTACTGTGCCTTTGCATTTCCCTCGCCATAAACAGGAAACAACCAGCATTAGACTCACTAAATAAAAAAAGCCAAACCAGATAGGCAAGGCAGAAGATGCTGCTTTTTCCATCCACACCCTTTTCCCTCTCATTCACATACAAATTACTGTTGCATCCAGGTGGGAGGAGAGTTTGAAGAGGGGAGGGGAAGGGGGGGAGAGAAGAACTGTTTGCCAAATAGGCTGAGGGATCAGAGGGAGCTTTCTCATAAAGCGCAGGGCTGACCCACAAACTGCTAGAAGACCTCAAACTCCGCAAGAGTTTCCCTCCCTCCCCGTTTGCAGGGTGAGAGCAGCCCCAGCAGGGAGATGGGAGGCAGGGAAGGGGTCTAACCAGGTCACTCCACCCTTCCCATCCCGCCCGGAGCACAACACGGGAGGGAGGGAGGGAAGCAGACCTGAAATGTAGGCCATCTACAAAGGCTGGGGGAGAGGCTTCAACGATGTGAGATTTATGATCTTCAAAGTGATTAGAGCCCAGCACTCCAAATAAAGGCAAAGAGAGCTCCTGCAGTCAGTTTGGAGTTGGGTTTCAAACCATCCTGCCCTGGCTTCGGTTTGAAAACTTGAATTGCAAGCCAACGAAAAAGGGGGGGGGAAAAAAAAGCACCTAAAACCAACCTCAAACCCCAAACCAAATTAAAAAACCCACCAACCTCTACCCCTAATGAAAGAGCACAGCACCTGATTTTACATGAAAACACTTTGATATTTCCAGCTCTCTTCTCTTCCTTTTTTCTTGTCATTTGAAATCTATTTGCTGAATTGAGGATGAATTCACCAACAGCTGAGGTCAACCCTAAATGTGAGTGTGGAGCCCGTGTGCATTTGGGCTCCTGCTCATTTAAGAGAATAATTTAAAATAATAATTATTATTTTAAATAACAATACTTTCAAATAGTAATTATTATTTTAAATAATAATGATTTAAAATCACTCTACCCATGGCCTTGGGAGGGCCAAGAGAGGGAGACAAAGAGCCACTTGCACAGGCCTGTGTCCACTCAGGGACTGTTACATCCCATCCCTGGCATCACTGCAAACCCCCTCAGTGGGCTCTGGGGAATCAGAGCAGATTAGAAATAAAATAAAACAATAAAACTAGCTCATTCACAGTCTTTTGCTTTTTAAACCTTGCTAAATCCCCAGCTAAGTTGGCTATTCAGTTACACGGACAAGCTGGAATAAATGAATTGGATTTTGCGGTGCTGTTTTGGTGGAGGGAGGAAAATAAAAGTGAAAATGCTGAAGAAAAAAAAAATAAAGCATAAAGACACAGTTTCTTTTTAGGAGGAGGATATTTCTACTGCCTGCAAGCCTGGCTGCCCCCACAGCTTCCCCAGCATCACCCAGAGGAATACAGAGGGTGGTGGGTCAGATCAGCATTGCTCCAGCACCTCTCCTCGATTAACCCCAGCCCCAACACCTCTGTGCTGCTGCCACAGGAGACGTTTTCCTGCTCATTTCTATCTGAAATATCCTTTTATCACCCCCGTGAGCTGATTGGATTCTTCTCCCAGCCCTGGGCTGCAGACACAGGGCTTTTTGTTTGCAGCTGGGGATTCCAGAATCCTGGAAGATGGCTGAGCATGTCAAGACACCTTTGGTAGGAAGGGGAGACCCACCCAAGGCTGGAGCAGCCAAAGCAAACAAACAAACAGCAGCCTGGCTGACATTTGTCACGGTGAGAGCCACCAAGGGAAGCTTGAGGGACAAAAAGCCACGTGGAAGAGGCACAGCTGCCCAGTGCTGCTCACAGGGTATGGAGCCTTTGGATTTGGGGAATGCACGTTGGAAGTGGATCGCTTGCTGTGCTAACATCACCCTCAAGTCTGTCCATGGAGTTACAGCCCCTCCTGCATTCCTGCTCCCATCCAGCCCCTGGAATCCTGCAGCAGGGCAGAGTTTGGCTCTCCAGACTCCTCTTTTCCTTTCCAGCTCTGCTGGCCACAGGAGGCCTCAGCTCTGGGCTCAGAGAGCATTTTCCTAAAATCTCAGAATGGTTTGGGCTGGAAGGAACCTTAAAACTCTTCTCATCCCACCCCTGCCTTGAGCAGGGACAACTTCCACTGTCCCAGGCTGCTCCAAGCCTCATCCAGCCTGGCCTTGGGCACTTCCAGGGATCCAGGGGCAGCCCCAGCTGCTCTGGGCACCCTGTGCCTCCCACCCTGCCAGCAGAGCTCCTGTGTCTGCCCAGATCCACGGGCTCCAGAGGGCTGTCACCTCCTGATGTGACACTCAGGGATCTTTAGAGCCACCCAGGAAGATCAGCAGGCACTCAGTGAGCCAGGGAAGGCTTTTAGCTGGACAAAGCAGGGGGAGAAGGGCACACACAGCAGGGACACGGCCCCTCAGCTGCTCTTTGCAATTGGGGTTTGCTTGCCCCATATTTTTATCTGCTGTCCCTTTCCCTGCTGCCTTGCAGACAGGAATTTGACCTGTGCACTCCAAGATCTCAAACCACATGATTTTTAGTGCTGGCTGACACTCCTGAGGGCCTTTGTCCTTGCCAGTGCCAGTGTCACAGCACCAGGGCTTTGGGGAGGGATTTGTACCCTTGCCACCACAACTGAGGTGCTTTTTGTTTCTAAACCATGATACAAAAAAAATTTTAAAAGCCAGAAAACCCCTTGAGCAAATGGTCATTTAAAGGAGCTCTGTAATTAGCTGAACTTGCATGAATTAGGGAGAGGGAAGCCAGGGGTGTAATCTGTCACAGCATCCCACAAGGGGAACTGGGAAGAAGTTCTGTGGTCTGTTTAATGGCACCTTCTGACCTAACAGTTTTTATCTCTCTGCAGGAGCTGCAGCACGATGAGCAAGTGAAACACAGCCATTCCAGAAAGGAGGAGAATGCCTGGGAAGCCAGGGAGCATCTTACCTGCCTGTTAAAGTCCAGCCCATTCTGTTCATTCCCTACAACGAAACAAAGAGAAAAACATCTCAGTATTAATGACAGCCAGCACTGGTGAGAGCTTTCCAGAACCTGGAACGCACATAACCAAAAAATTGGCCCTGGGAGAGCAAGGAGAGGAGGAGGAGGGTGCAGAAATGGAAGGATGAAGGATTCTGCAGCATTTTGGTGGTGCCAACCCTTGCTGAGGGATAATAAAAGTGTTCCTGCCTGGGAGATACCTGGCCAAGGGTGGGGGAAATCTCGCTGAGCGCAAGGGAGATTCCAGCAGAGGTGAGCTGGAGGACATCACAAATATCCAGGGAAATCCAGGGCTAGCTGTGGGAAAGGCCAGCAAGCAGGTGGCCAGGGCTGCTGGCCCGGGATCTTCAGGAACCCGCGTGGCACCGCGTAATTACGGGATATCTGGAGGAACACAGGGTGCCGTGGGGTTGTGCTCAAGAGGCGTCTCCTTGATTCCAAAAGAGATTGGCAGGCACAGGGGGAAAAATCAGACAGGTTTCAGCCTGAAGGTACCGCACAGGCCTTCACTCATTCCCCTTTGATGATAAACATCCCCCCCTCCCGCCATCACACCTGCCAAATTCATCAGGAACATCACAGAGCAAAGGTTGTGCTCTCCACAGATCTGAATGCTTTAAGGGATTCCACGAAGCTCTCGAGCTGCACAGGCAACCCCAAGACACCCCTTCCCTTTGCAGCACATTCCCCAAGCCATTCCCTGCCAGTCCAGCCGAGCTGGTGATGAGGAGCCTGGAATTGTTCACATCCCACCGGCACAAGCCCCCAGGCCTCCTGCTCCTGCTGTTTTTTCCAGGATAACGTTCCCCATGAAGCAGAGCCCGTGCCCTGTGATCTGATCAAGCTCCAACACATCGTGTTTTCCAGCAGTTCAGGGCTCCTGCAAAGAGCTGGAAAGTGCTTGGGAGAGGCTGGGCATGCAGGAGGGTGAATCCAGCTCTGCCATGGACCTTCCTCAACTGAACAATCCTTTATGCTATCCCAGCACATCATTTTCCATGCACAGAGTATTCCCAGGTGAATCAGCGTGGATCCTGAGGGGGAGCGTTCTCGGTACAATTATCCACAGATGGCAAAACATTGGAGAGTCAGGGATAACAGAGCTTTGTGGCTGCTCTCTGCTGTCTAGAAACAGCCCTGGAGATTTAATCTGTGACATTTAAAAATCACTGACTGTGGAAGCGGAGCTGTGGGACTGTGCTATCGAGCAGGGCCACGGCAGAACGAGCTGCTGCCCCCTCAATTTGACATCTCCTCACCCTCTGCACCTCAACCAGCTCTGAGCTTCCCCCTCAATTTGAGATCTGCTCCATCTCCTCACCCTCTGCATCCCAACCAGCTCTGAGCCCTCTCCTCCCAGCCTGGCTGCATTTTCACCCTGCCTTCCTCCCAGCCTGCTGTCTCCCAGCCCTTTATCTCTTTTCCCCATGTAATTCCCTCGCTCCAACCCCCTCTGCTCCCTGTCCAGCTCTCTCCAGCTGCTCCCTCCCCAGGAATGGGGTTCATTCATTGCGTTCCAGCTCCCTTCCAGCCCCAAAAGCCAAGGAGGGCAAATCCAGCGATGGGAACGCTGATAGCGTTAATGGATGATCACAATCAGCATCCACACACCTGAGCAGGACCGCAGGAGCATCTTCAAGGCCTGCAGTTTCTACCTTTGAAACCCCCATGGGGTGTGGGGGGGGGTGTTTGATGCGATCTGGAGACAGCAGCTGAAGGGAAGCAAAGCCAGGAGGGAAGGAGGAAATAAAAGTTCCCAGCTGCTAAAATAGAACAGGAAGGAAAAGGTAATCTCCAGGTTTCTTGGAGACAGGAGTTTCGCTCACGTTCGGGCGCAGCGTGGTGATGAGGCAAGATTCAGAGAGCTGCAGGGGAATCCCTGGGTCCCAGTGACGACGGCTGAGTCACCAGCACTCACCCCAAAGCTTGGAACCCCAGAGGTGTGGCTGGAACAGAGCTTCCCTGCACAGCCCCACATCCCCCAGCACAGCCTCTCCCTCCCTCCACGAGCACTGGCACACTCGGGCCTTCTCTTTGTCCCTTCCTCTCCTACAGAGCCACACACGGCATCCTCCACATCCCTGCAGATCAACAAGGGGGGGATTTGGGAGCACCCCGGCCGGGAATTCTGTGCCAGCTGAGCAAATATTCCTGGAGGCTGGCACTGAGTGGGGTGTCTGAGTCGGAGGGAGCTCCCTGGGCAGACAGAAGGAGCAGCAGGCACCTCCAGAGGCCATTCCTGTGCCTATCTCAGCCACCCATCTCCCCAGCAGGAATGGCCCTCTGGAGATGACTATTCCTCCTGACTGACTCCAAAGGGACCCAGGGGCAACCAGTTCAGCCTTAGATGTCCAAGAGGGAGAGGTTTAAAACTGGGAGGGGTGATTTCTGCTCCCAGTGGTTATGTAAATGGGAGCTGGATACACAAATCTCTGCAGGACCAACCAGTGTTTGGGCACTGGTTTATTTGCAAACAAATCTGGCCCTTCTTTTTCTGTTTCAGTAAATGTAAAATTCAGGTGATTGCAGCTGCGAGCCAAGGTTTGGGTGTGATAGGGATAGCAGCTCTCCTCTTTCAGTTGAACTGTAACTTTCTTTCCTACAAATGCTTTATAAAAATAGCCTCGGCTTCCTCCCAGTTTCTGTCAACATCAGGACTCGCACTGCAGCAGTCATTTCTCTCCTTAAAGGAACGAGCTGTTCAAACAATCTGCACTTAAGATTTAATCTTTTCTAGCTCCAGGAGATAAAAAGAAAGAAAAGTGTAAGTGGCAGCAGATTCTCTCTCCTGCTGCAAGCTGCCAGAACTCCACTCATTTTAATGGAGCTTCAGCCCAGCCAACAACTCGATTTTTGCTGCACGAGCCAGACACAGTGGGATCCAGAACCTCCAGAATCTGCTAGATCAGTCCTCCCCTTCCTGAAATTCCACGGGGCTGGGGAAGCCCTGGGATTTCAACGGGGAAAGGCTGCTTGGAGCCCCATCAATTCCCAGCAGCTCACCCATCACCAGGGCTTCACCCTCGGCTCCTGGCTGTTTGGAAAAGCAGTGATAAGCTCAGCTGGCTCCCCGAGCCCGGCAGCCCAGGGTTGTGCTGCTCTCCTTGGTTCACCTGGCAGCTGTTTTGCATAGCCCTGGCATCAGATCTGGTGCGAGTTTGCCTGGGGAGGTTTCTCTGGGGATGGGAGCAGCGCAGCAGTTCCGGGCAGCTTCCCCCCACCCGCTGCTGTTCCCCCCTGGAAAACCCAGGGCGAGGGATCCATGGGGAGCAGAGCTGCAGAGCCAGTCCGGCCCTGCAGGATAAAAGCACCTTAATGGGGGAAAAGTAAAATCAGGGTGGCCTTCATCTTCACACGGGCAGGTGTCACCTCCAGGGAGTGACACTTCTCACCTGGCCACTCCAACAGGGCTCATCCCTGTTCCCAGGCAGCTGCACTGAACTCACCCCATGCTCTGGAGGGACGGGGGGATGAGGAGGTGATTCCAGCCTGCAGCAGGTGTTGGAGAATTCCCGCAGGGAATCAGTTTGCTGCTGCACATTTGGGAGGGAAATGGGGAAGAGCTGAAGGGCGCTGGGGGAGCAGTGCCAGGCAGACACCACGCAAGGGTTCGGCCGCCTGGCCTGAGATGTCTGAAACTTTCAGGTGCCTCAGTGGGAGCCAATTGCTCCAGGCTCCCTTTGCAGCCATGCAGAGGAAGCAGGAGCTTCCAGAGGGCAATTCCTCTTGCCCCTGAGATAGACGGCACAGGGATGAATCACCCTCTGGAGATCCCCGTTTCCATCAGGGACTGCCTGGGGTGAGCGGGTCAGGCTGAAGCCTCAGAGGGTTGAATACCTAAAATTAAGATTAATCTCACCTATCCTGGAGATTTTTGCACTCCGTCTGATGAAGCACAATGCCACAGGAGATTGGCAGAGCAGGCCGGGTGTAGGGTGCCTTTCAAGGGGCATTTCTGATAAATTCACTGTTCAAATCTTTCACCTCAAACAAGGTGTGAAGTTAAGAGATTGCCCAAGTGCTGGTAGAGAAAAGGGTGGCAATTCCTCTAACTATAACCAGTACTTGTCCCACAAGCTGTAAATGAAGCCAAATGCTCACCTGCACTGAAGGAATAAGCAAAACAAGATATTCAGCACAAAACACTCCCCAGGATGTCCACTGACTTTGGAAATTCAGGCAAAAACCAAGGCATGGCCTTCATGCTGCTGCTCCCAGCAGCCACACCAGCGACTTCCCCAGAGCCAGCAGGAGGCCCTGAATGCTGGGACCTCACTCAAATCACCTTTTCCCCACGGCGTGGCCACCCCTGATTCCCTCCAGCTGCTCCCACCAGCGCTGGGGCAGGAGGAACTGCAGCTGAGCAGGCACCAGTCAATTCCCTGGATTCCCACACGCCCTGCTGGGACACTTGATGCTCCCAAGGCTCTTAAAAAGTGCTTTTTAAAGTGTGAGCAGGATGGGGAGTTCTTGAGGCAGCCAGGTAAGGCTGCAGTTCTAATCTGAACTCTTTGCTCCAAAGACACAAACACTCAAACCATCTGAGCATCCCCATGGGAAAGCCAAGGCTGGTGAGCAAAAGCGAATCTTGTGCTGACTCAGACAGCTCCAGACTCCAGGGGAAGCTTTCACTGAACACTCAAGCGCTTTTATAACCCCTGGGTTATAGAAATGCCTTCCCTCTGTCAGCAGTGCCTCCGAGAAGCCCCGTCCCCAGGTCCCTCTGCAGCCCCTCCGTGTGGGGCAGGGTGAGGGGGAGAGCAGGACAGCGAGTGTGGGAGACTTGGGCACCTTCCAGAAGGAAACCCGAGGGCAGCAGTTGTTCCCACGGAAAACATTTCACCTGCAGCTGCTGGGAGAGGGCAAGTCTCTTCTCCTAGACCAGAGGCAAGAGGCAGATCAGACCAGCTCTTCCTTTGCCCCTCTAATTCAAGTCAAACCAGCCTTTTGTTCCCCTTTCCCCTCCCCATCCTTTTTTATC